ATACTTTCATGACAAAGAACACCTGAGGGACTACATGAATACCAAACTAACACTTCAAAAAAGTCTAAAAAATATCCTAGAAAAAGATAAGGAGGATTACAACTCCATGAACCCCAAGAGAATGAAACCATCAGGCAAGGCAAGAAATGAAATGGAAGGGGGGTGCCAACAATAGGAAAATATCGTGTCAATGATAAATCAATACATATCAGTTATAACCATCAATGTAAATGGTTTCAATTCACCAATCAAAAGAAACAGGCTGGCAGAATGGATCAAGGAGCAAGATTCAACAATATGCTGCTTATAAGAAATACATTTAATTGAAAAAGAAATTCAAAGACTGAAAGTTAAAGGATGGAAAACAATATTCCATGCAACAGGGACCCGGAAGAAAGCAGGGATAGCTATCCTATTTGCAGACAAAGTGGATTTCAAACCAAAAGTAAGTAAGAGAGACAAAGAAGGTCACTACATCCTTCTATGCATTTTTTTTGGTACTGGGGATTGAACTTGGGTCCTTCAGCTTGTGAGACAGACGGTGGAACCACTGAGCTAATTCCTCAGCCCCAACTACATCCTTGTAAAGGAAACAATCCAAGAGGAAGAGATGACAATCATGAATATCTATGCAGCAAATACTAGTGCACCCAACCATATAAAACAAATACTAATGGACATGAAAAATCATACAAGCACTAATACAATAGTAGTGGGGGACCTCAATACCCCACTGTCATAAATAGATTAACTAGACAAAAAAAATCAACAACAAAATACTAGAACTGAAGCAAACATTTGAACAAATAGACTTAATAGATGTCTGCAGAGTGTTCTACCCCACAAAATCAAAATACAAATTCTTCTCAGCTACACACAGGTCATTGTCCAAAATAGACCACATGCTAGCTAATAGAGCATGGTTAAGTAAATGCAAAAGAATTGAAGTGATACCCTGCATATTGTCAGACCACACCACAATGAAATTGGAGATCAATAGCAAAAGAAATCACAAGAACTCCATAAACACATGGAAATTGATAACGCCCTCCTGATCAAAAGAAGCCTTTTCTTCCTTTTAAGTATTTTGTCACAATGAGCAAAATGTGTCTAATGCACTGACTTCAACTTAGGTTTAGGGTCAAATATTACCTCCCCAAGAAGAAATCCCAGAACACTATCCCTAAAAAAAAAAAATCAGTTCCAGTCTTTCTGTTACTCACACACACACACACCAGATACATGGGCATATACTCAGCATCCTCATGATCATTCTTCTTGTTATTTTCTCCCTCAGTACGTGTTACCTGCAATTACCTTACTGGTGTGTTTGCCATCTGTGTGTTCCACTAAAAAAGATTCTATGCAAGCAGGAACCTGTTTGGTCACTCTATTCCCCGTGGTTTGAAGAATGTCTGACAAACAGCAGACTATAACCGTTTGTTGCATGACGAGTGAATAAGTGAAAGAACCGACAAATTCACCACTGTCACTCTCCTATCCATGATTTAACGCTTGTGTGGGAGCAGGGAAGGGAAGGGTGGAAAGAGAGAAACTGAGGACATGGACAAGTGTTAAAGAAAATAGGACCGAAGGAATGATCAGCCCCTCAAAGTTGTATTCCGCATAAAAAAGGAAGTTCTAAATTTCTAATGGCATGGTCATCCAACCAAGAAATGAGCTGCCTTGTAAGTGAGCCAGTCCCGTACTGTGTGCAGAAGGAGTTGCACAGCCACCCACAGAGCTACAGCAGAGGGGACTTACACACCCTAATAGACGCTGAACTGAGTGTCCTTAAAGGATGATCTCATGGCTGGGAGTGGGTCCAGGCCAGTGCAGGAGAAGCACTAAAGCCACGGTGAGGAGCTTCCTCCCCCAGTAAATACATGATGTACATCCAATTAGTTTCTCGGCACCAGCAAACTGTCTCTTAGTGCCCTCAGCAATGAGATTTGCTAATTGAAAACACTTCTCTCGATCTGCTTGAGAGGCTGGGACTAAACTAGGCTACTGAAATGTAGTCCATGCCTAACTGGGGCAGGGGAGGTACAGCCAGGCAGAAGGCAAGACCTACTGGGGCAGGGATGATGAGGTCACTACTTCAGAAAGGCTGAAACTTCCGTATTCCAGTGTTTGGGAATTGCATTTATTGGAAAATGAATCTTTTCAGGTGAAGGGAAGCATTTTCCCTCTTTTCTTTGGAATAATTCATTTGAGCGAAAAAGCAATTATAAAAATAGGACATCTCCAGGCCTCTGAGCTTGCTTGTAAGAAAATCAGACTTTGATCCAACAGTCTTGCTTCTGAAAGAGACATCCGTTGGCATGTGACTTGTGGTTGGTAATACTAAGGACTAGGCCAGGGAAGATGTGCACACATCAGATTTCAAGGCGGCTACGGGGGGCAAAATGAGCAGCAGCAGCAGCAGAGGCACAAACAATTGCAACAAAACACCTTGAGCCAGTCTCTGTGTTAACTTCTCCACCAGCAATGTCTCCTTTCATATTCTCAGCAATTCAATGAACAAATACTATTCTGATCCCATTTTATAGATTAGGAAACTGAGGCCCTAAAATGAAGAGATTTCCCCACGGTCACAAAGCTACTAAGTGCTGAAGGAAGGTCTGTGCCTTCAGAGCACAGACTGAAACTAAAATCAGTTTGCGTGGGTCGATGAAATGGGTTCACAAGTCAGCCACAAACTTGCGAGACAACATTTTGAAATGCAGGAGACCTGGGATAAGGCCTGAGATACTGCTCTTCTCACAATGCTGTAAGACGATGCTGATGTGCTGGTCTATGGCCACATTTTGAGCGCCAAGATTGTAGGAACCAGGTGAATGACGGCACCTCGGAGTACCCAGAAATTTCCTTACTCTATTAAGACACAGAGGCCATATAGGAAGAAAAGAAAATCTGATTCATTTTGTTTCAATCGCTGTCTTGGAGACATTAAATCTTAAAGGCTGTAACCTCCTACTTACCTCAGCCCAAAAAAGCTCTGTCACATTGTTCTCTAACCCTGCCCCCTTTTTCTCTTAAAAAGAGACCAGCAGTTGGCAATACATAAGGAGAAAAACACAATTAGGCCCCAAAGAAAAAAATCCCACAGCCCTTCCATTTCAATTAGAATCAGCGGCTGTTAGAAACGGGCACATTTAGAGCTGTAATACCAACGGAAACAGTGAATTCTCAATTGTGATCAAAGGCTTCATTTAGCTGGCTGAAAAGAAAGCATGAGCTTAATTGAACAAGAGCGAGAGATCGCCTCCAAAGCAGGCAGGCACAGTCAAATAGCATTGAATAATATAATGCATCTGATGAAGAAAACTTAGCCCTAGGCTACAAATGCCCTCGCTCGACCCATAAATCCTCATCAAAAAGAGACCTTCAAAAGTCACCCGGTCTGACTGCCCATCTCCCGAGGGAATACACCTTAGATCAAGACCTTTGAAATCTCTGGCTGTGATGCAGAGGGACACCTGTCACACCAACCTAGCGGACATGGACCGTCCATATATGACTGTATGTTAAGTAAAAGTTTCACAAAATAAGATTTATAATTTCCATCTGTTAAGTACTTGCTTTTCATTTTCATGTTTTGAAATGCTGTCAAGAACCACACAATTGATTTTGAGACCCGCCCATAGGTCTTGACCCACAGTTTGAAAACCACTGTCCTGGACGTCCAAGGAAAGTGACCAACCAGCCTCTTCATCTAACAAGTGGAAAGGAGAGGCATTAAACAAAGTACATATCTACACTACAAACTGAGGTGGGTGTGGGAAGGGGAGAGCAAGGACACGATGAGCGATGGTGATGGAGGAACCTATTTTGGACCAGAAAGATGGCTGCTCTTGAAAGCCCCTCTTGAAAGGAACATTCATCTGGGACCAAAGGAGGGGAGGAAGGCAGCCAGACAGGAAGAGAGTATTTATTCTACTCAAATATATCTTGTGCTGCAAATGCACAGTTGTCTATGGAAACCTCAAATGATAGTAATGACAGCAGCAACAGCCAAGCCAGGTTCATCAAGTTTTACCATTCATCAGACTCCAGCCACGTGCTTCACAAAACCACTAGAGCATAAGGGAATCAAGTGCCTGGTTTGAATCTCAGCCGCAGCTCTTACAAGCTGGGTGATCTGGGATGGGTTAGTTCACTTTTCTCATCTGCAGAGAAGGGATTATTTATAGTGCTTTGTTGCATCACTAGCAGGAATAAGTGCATTCAAATTAAGGGCTCAGAACAAGGGCATGGTACATACAAAATAAATTGCTAAATAAAGGGACATGGATACAAAATCTTCAAGAACTTGCTTCAAACAAATACCACTTGTCCGTGGGCACAGGAAAAGAAACCCACCTGCCAACCCTGAAGTGGCAGATCTTCAAGAAGTGTTTTGTCCCTCTAGGGAGACAGAGGCCTGATTCCTCAACACTGCAGAACCCGACCTGCAGACAAAGGGGACCGGAAGAAAGAGAGCAGTCTGGCCCCTTGCCCTAATTTCCACCTTGGGACCTGCATTCTCTTTCCTGGCTGATAAATTTTCCAGTTCAGCACCAAAGACACAGTTGATTTCTCCAGAGAACAGTAATGATGGGATTATAGTATGCTGATACAGGAAACCTCCAGATAAATAGTATTAGTGGCTTCAATGTTGAAAAATCCCTGCTTTCAAGAGACCTAAACTAACAAGTTCAAGTCACATCAATAATTAAAATTAAACTACTATGGTGAGCTGAAAGTCAACTCCAATATGACATTTTTTAAAACAGTTCTCCAAAGATGAACTTAATATCAGCTTCAGGGAGGCATCTATCGCAAACCCACAAAATCAGAAACAAAAAAGCAGGCTGTTCTACTGTGCACGTGCTGCTTCTAATTCCCCAGGACGCTGAGAACAGGGAAGCTTGGCTGGGCATTCGAAACACCCATCACTAGGAAAAGGTGGTAAAAATGAGGAGCAGGCCTGACACTTGTAGCTCATTCACACCCACCTTCTCAGTGTGTCCCCTCGTTACCTCTCCAGGTAAGCAGAGCAGGGATTTTCAGCCCCATTGCCTAGATGAGGAAAGTGAGGCCTGCAGCGGTATAGTGACAGGATCGGGAAGCATGGCCAGCAAGTGACCAGTGTGGGATGAATAACCATCCTGAAGTAGAGGAAACAGAGAGAGAATGGAAGGTATGGGAGGCCAGATGGGAAGAATGAACCTAAAGAGGGGAGATTCCTCAAAGAGAGGGCATGCAAGCATGCTCACACGCTGCAGGGGAAGTAAGAACACCTGAGGTTGAGGTGTTCGCCCGGAGAAGGACCGTGGAGGACGGAGACAGAAGATGAGGCCTGTGGAACTCTAATGGCTCATGCCCGTGCCTGAGTGAATAAAGCCCAGGTGTGTTAGTCAGTTGGGGCTCTATGTAGAAGGGAGGCTTGAGCCTCCTGGTCCCCACATTTTAACTTGTTTTTGATTCTCTTTATTTTTCATCTTCGTCATGCCTTGGTCAAGTTTGAGCTCAGCTTGTAGGCTGGTTCCTACAGGAAAGAACTGGGGGAAAAGAAAAATATCATACCTGTTATAATAACAGAAACATGGCATAAAATTTTAAGGCAAAAGACCCAATTGGGACAACTGAGCAAATTCATTCAAACGAATGGCTGTTAAAGTTATGCTTGTTCTTGTGCACTCTTAGAAGATGCTAATATTTTTATATTACTACTGACATAAAAATACCATTAGCCAACAATTTACTGAGTTAAGGATTTGTTTGAACACATTACATAAATAGTAATGCACCATTTAATCTTTACAACAACCTTACAAAGTAGAAGCTGTTATTTTACAATTGAGAAAGTAATATTCAGAGAGGTAGATCATTTGCTGAAACTCACACAGCGAGCAAGTCTGGGTCTGATTGTCAGCCTCAGGCTCCTAACATTTCTACATGGTGACTCCATAAATACCCTGTAAAAAGAGGTGAACATCAATTGGATCAAACTGTAGCAATTTGAATTCATAGCAACCAAGAATTAAGCTAAATGCTACCCAGTTTCTGTGTGCCCAGCAGGCAGCTTTACTGAGCTAATGAAGTTGTCACCCCTCTTATACACTTGACAAATATGTATTAAGCATCACCTTATGTCATTTACCATGC